GGCAGACTGGCTGAGCCGGTTTTTGATGACACAGTGGAAACAATGAGAGACAGGAGGCACCAAAGAAAGTTTAGAGAGAATAATAAAGGCAATACAAAGACATTTTAGGCCACGAGACAGCCGATGCAGAGAATGAGCCGTTTTATAGACAAGACGGAGAAGAGATGAGCTGCAGAATCAAATGCAATTAAAGTGCAGACTATATGCGGCAACGTGTCTTCACCGGGGACACTGACATATTAATATCAGGGCTGCAGCATGTGACAATCACACAATTAATGTGGCTGGGACCTAATCCTACTCCGAGTATGGAGAACACTAGAGCTCATATGCAAATTAGTCCTTTCTTAATGAGACACCTGGAAAATATGTTTTCTAAACCCCCCCAACCCCCTTTAAAGCTGATCTCCTAACAGATATAAAGGACACACACTAGTATGACTCTGTATTCATTACCATGTTGCCATCGGCTATAGGGATGTATTTACCACAAGGCAAACAAGGCATTTGCCTAGGGCGGCATTTTTCAGGGGGGGCAGCATTGCCCCTTGGAAGAAGGGATGGAAGAAAGGGCAAACGCGGCATGGGGACCTGGTGGGTTCCGAGAGATGCTGTGGGTTTCATGACGGGGTATGCACAGCCTGACTCTGGTTCCTGGGGATGTCCGGAGCTGTGAAGGTGACAGTCTTTCTCTCTCCCGCCATGGGGGGTGGTGGCTGGTGTATGGGGGGCAGTGGTCAATGTCAGGCTCTTTCTGTGGGGGGGGGGGGGGTGCTAATTTATGTGTTGCCTAGGGCGGCACAAAACCTAAATACACCCCTGTATGTGGCAGCGGGGCAGTGGCCACATATTTACATAAATCATGCACCACTGTTTTGTGACAGGAGTAAGCTCACTCAGCTGCCCCTGGACCAGGGGCGGACTAACCATTTGGAAACTTGGGCACTGCCGAGGGCCCGGGGTCAGTAGGGGGCCCCATGAGATGCCCCTGGTACCTTTTTCATAGGCTTTTTTGAGTTTGGGCAAGGACACAAGGCCCCATGATCCCCTATTGCCCGGGGGCCCCATGAGTTGTCAGTCCGCCCCTGCCCTGGGACTGTGACTGCACGGTCACTGACCTTAGAGGGTTACTAAACCCACAACAGTACAATCAGGCTGTAGATGCAGTACAGCACGCTGGTTATACTCACTGTGGAACCTAAGGGGTTAATCCATTTTATAAAAAGGCGGTTTGATCCTGTCTTCCCTGATCTTCCCCTTCTTCTACTGTCCCCAATCCATCTGCTGAAAATACAGAACTCTAGGAGTCACTCTGCACATGCTCAGTTTCATGCTCAGAGCGGATATAGTGAATGCGGGGTCCGGGGAAAGCAGATATAGTGAATGCGGGGTCCAGGGAGAGCGGATATAGTGAATGCGGGGTCCGGGGAGAGCGGATATAGTGAATGCGGGTCCAGGGAGAGCGGATATAGTGAATGCGGGGTCCGGGGAGAGCGGATATAGTGAATGCGGGGTCCAGGGAGAGCGGATATAGTGAATGCAGGGTCCGGGGAGAGCGGATATAGTGAATGCGGGGTTCCCCTCTTATCTCCTGATAAGACATATCGTTTGGAGATACTCTGCACATGCTCAGTTTGGTGTGTATTGCTGGAGAGGTTTCTTTCTTTGGGAGGATGCATGTGATCAGTACTGGGAGGGTGCATGTGATTCTTTGGGAAGGTGCATGTGATCAGGGCCAGTCAGCGCTGTCCAGACAGAGGGTTAGGGTTATGCAGCCTCAGACAGTCAGAGCAGAATTAAAACTCCTTCTACATGATTAACCAGTGCTCTGCTGGACACTGATAGAAGTCACAAAACTGCAATATACAGCACTGCTGATGAGAAAACTTATTTAGCATTTTAAATTTACTAAAATTGAATTTCCATGTTCTGTGTACTGTGGGAGTTCAGATATAGTGAATGCTGGGTCCGGGGTTTAGTAACACTTTTAGGCAGGCTCTTGATCATCTTGGGTCATTGTGACAGCCAATCACAGAGCTCAGATGATTGGGAAGCCAATCCCGTAAAGGGCCGGCAGTAAGGGATTCATGCAGTATTAAATGTATTTTTATACAATGAAAACAGTGTGAGTACCTGGGATTGATTTGGTATCAACATCTTGCAATTCCTGTTCAGCAGAACTCAGTCTGATAGAAGGAGAAGCAGCACAAGTAGCCAATCAGTTGTGTTCCAGTGTTTTTTTGCTAATAAGTAACATGTTGATAGTAGGAGAGAGCGGAATGACAAGAGAGATTAGGTCATCACTGTGCTACCTCTCCTTCACTGTCCAGTCACAGGATGGGGAGAGGGACAAAACCTGAAACTTAAGTGCTGCAACAAAAAAAAATCTGGTCTCCTTCCCTGCCAGACAGGACTGTGCTGTGAGGCATGTCTGTGCACATTTCAGGACTGAATGGACAGAAATTCAAATCCTTTGGCAGGAAAAAGCCCCATATATTTATTGCATCTGTGTGTTTAGCCCATTGCCTGGAGTTCAACTTTAAAGAATAATTGAACCCAAGAACAAGAATGTATGGTTGCATTAGTGGTCTCTTTCCAAGCTAAGAACATTTTCAGCAAGTACAGAAAATACCTGTTGATGTCCTTGTCACTTCCTGTGCACTGAAAGGGAAGCATAAGACCAACCCCCCCCCCCCCCCCCCCCCCCCACCCCCCCCCACACACACACACACACACACACACACACACACACACACACACACCCCTCCATGTAATGAAAATGAACAAAGGCAGGCACACCTGAAGTCCAGCCTGGGTGTCAGTTGAAGCTCCCTCCATATGGAGATGGTTCCAAGCAGTGGTGTATTTAGGTTTTGTGCTCCCCTAGGCAACACAAACATGGGGCGCCCCCCCACCTGACATTGACCAACAACATGCCTGCCCAACCCCACCTGAGAGAGCCTTCACTAACACCTCACCCCCACCCCCGCGAGAGAAAGACACTCAGCTTTAGAGCTCCGGACATCCCGGGAACGAGAGCCAGGCTCTCCATACACCATCAAGTAGCCCGCAACCTCTCTCGCATCCCACCTGGTGTCTCTTCTTCAAGGTAGCAGTGCTGCCCTCCAGAAAAATGCCGCCCTAGGTAAATGCCTTGTGGTAAATACGCCTTTGGTTCCAGTGGTAATGGTTCCAGTGGAGGAGTAAGCACTGTCACCCTAGAGCAAGAAGTGTGTTATTCGCAGGATTACCAGGCTATCCTAAAGGATAAAGCCTGAAGCAAAGATAATTAACGCAGCCACCACATCCAAGGGACTGGTAAGCTGCAATATATTACATTTTTCTTCTTGGGTTTTGGATGCGACTTAAGACTGCTGAGAGTCGGGGACGAGTTATAAACTACAATTGCCAATGACAGATATTACATGCTGAAGAGTAACAAATACAAACAGCTCCTAATTTTTTTGAAGTCATCCACGTGTGTAATATTATACCCATACAGAGTGTACAGTCACTCCTATGACAAGACCATTGGATTATTGTGACAGACCCAACAATGTGACAGACCCAACAATGTGACAGACCCAACAATGTGACAGACCCAACAATGTGGCAGACCCAACAGTGTGACAGACCCAACAGTGTGGCAGACCCAACAACGTGACAGACCCAACAACGTGACAGACCCAACAACGTGACAGACCCAACAATGTGGCAGACCCAACAATGTGACAGACCCAACAATGTGGCAGACCCAACAATGTGGCAGACCCAACAATGTGGCAGACCCAACAGTGTGACAGACCCAACAGTGTGACAGACCCAACAGTGTGGCAGACCCAACAACGTGACAGACCCAACAACGTGGCAGACCCAACAACGTGACAGACCCAAACAGTGTGACATACCCAACAGTGTGACATACCCAACAGTGTGGCAGACCCAACAGTGTGGCAGACCCAACAGTGTGGCAGACCCAACAGTGTGGCAGACCCTACAATGTGACAGACCCAACAATGTGACAGACCCAACAGTGTGACAGACCCAACAGTGTGGCAGGACCAACAGTGTGACAGACCCAACAGTGTGGCAGGACCAACAGTGTGGCAGACCCAACAATGTGGCAGACCCAACAATGTGGCAGACCCAACAGTGTGACAGACCCAACAATGTGACAGACCCAACAGTGTGCAGACCCAACAATGTGACAGACCCAACAATGTGGCACACCCTACAATGTGACAGACCCAACAATGTGACAGACCCAACAATGTGGCAGACCCTACAATGTGACAGACCCAACAATGTGACAGACCCAACACTGTGGCAGACCCAACAATGTGACAGACCCAACAATGTGGCAGACCCAACAATGTGGCAGACCCAACAATGTGACAGACCCAACTGGGACAGGGTATGTTGGAGGGGACTGCAGGCTAGCCTCTTGCCTACTGACCCTTCCAAAAGACTCTGTCCCGGTTGAGTCTGTCACAATTATGTGATCAATCCAAGGTAGCAATCAGGTCTAACATTCTATAGTACTGGCCAATACACACTAGTTCCTGGCTAATGCAGTATAGACTTGAAGAACAGGCAAGGTGCATAGACGTGTGATGAATCACTGCTTTCGGTGAGGCTTGATCAACCCAATGCGGATTCGGCAAAGACTAAAATCAGACCCATGGAAACAGCTTCAAACATAAACATTTTTTTTAATAAATTCTGGTTTCCCTTTTAAAAGCGGAGGGAAAAAAAAAGTACATCCGGAATAAATCTGGCCATAAAGTACATAATTAAATGGCAGGGACTGGCTGAAACTGGGAACTCCAGCCAAAGTGGGAAGAATGTCCCTTACATTGGTGGTCAGTGGGAAGAATGTCCCTTACATTAGAGGTAAGTGGGAAAAAATGCCCCTTACATTGGGGGTCAGTGGGAAGAATGTTCCTTACATTGGGGGTCAGTGGGAAGAATGTCCCTTACATTGGGGGTCAGTGGGAAGAATGTCCCTTACATTGGGGGTCAGTGGGAAGAATGTCCCTTACATTGGTGTTCAGTGGGAAGAATGTCCCTTACATTCGTGGTCAGTGTGAAGAATGTCCCTTACATTGGTGATCAGTGGGAAGAATGTCCCTTACATTGGTGGTCAGTGAGAAGAATGTCCCTTACATTGGTGGTCAGTGGGAAGAATGTCCCTTACATTGGGGTCAGTGCGAAGAATGTCCCTTACATTGGCGGTCAGTGGGAAGAATGTCCCTTACATTGGCGGTCAGTGGGAAGAATGTCCCTTACATTAGGGGTCAGTGGGAAGAATGTCCCTTACATTAGGGGTCAGTGGGAAGAATGTCCCTTACATTAGGGGTCAGTGGGAAGAATGTCCCTTACATTGGGGTCAGTGCGAAGAATGTCCCTTACATTGGTGATCAGTGGGAAAAATGTCCCTTACATTGGCGGTCAGTAGGAAGAATGTCCCTTAGATTGGCAGTCAGTGGGGGAAGAATGTTCCTTACATTGGTGGTCAGTGGGAAGAATGTCCCTTACATTGGTGGTCAGTGGGAAGAATGTCCCTTACATTGGTGGTCAGTGGGAAGAATGTCCCTTAGATTGGCAGTCAGTGGGAAGAATGTTCCTTACATTGGTGGTCAGTGGGAAGAATGCTCCTTACATTGGAGATCAGTGGGAAGAATGTCCCTTACATTGGTGATCAGTGAGAAGGATGTCCCTTACATTGGTGGTCAGTGGGAAGAATGTCCCTTACATTGGTGGTCAGTGGGAAGAATGTCCCTTACATTGGTGGTCAGTGAGAAGAATGTCCCTTACATTTGGGGTCAGTGGGAAGAATGTCCCTTACATTGGAGGTCAGTGGGAAGAATGTCCCTTACATTGGTGATCAGTGGGAAGAATGCCCCTTACATTGGTGGTCTGTGGGAAGAATGTCCCTTACATTGGTGATCAGTGGGAAGAATGTTCCTTACATTGGTGGTCAGTGGGAAGAATGTCCCCTACATGGGTGATCAGTGGGGAAGAATGTCCCTTACATTGGTGGTCAGTGGGAAGAATGCCCTTATATTTGTGTTCAATGGCAAGAATGAGACTTTTAAAGCCAAAAAGAATATTTGTGTCAGCTGGCTTTGCAAGTGGCTTTGGCCCTGGAACTATACAGGCACTATCGAATGGGAGGTCAATCAGCCACAGCTCAAGGAACCCCCATCAACTTCTGGAGGAACCCAAGGGAGCCAGAGACCCCTCACTGAGAATGGCTGCGTTAGACAGTAGGTGTTCCCAGAAATCAGTTGACTGGAGTATGCAATACAAACAATGCTTGAAAAAAAAAACAGAAGGCCTGGGCATTAGACTGGGTCCTCTTCATCTTTAGGCTTCATTTTCAAGTCTGACTGGAGTGTTGTTTTAAATAGGAGCAACACCATTCTTTCCGAACGGAGAGATAAATCTTTACCCATTTCACAGATGCCAGCCTAGTCACGTGGTAAATTTCAAGGCACCGCTAAAGGCGTTAATTAAACAAAAAGCGCAATTCCTGTAATGGGGGGGGGGGGGGGGGGGGGAATATCGTCCTAACTAAAAGAAAAATAAAACTGTAGCAAAGGACATCAATCTTCCCTTCTGGAATTCCCTGTCAGTATAATCTTAAAATGCTCCATCAGAGTAACAAAACTTTATAGTTGTGTCATGCCTGTGGCTAGTGCAGCTGAATCTATGAATATTGTCAGCCATTAGACTGCAAATAATGTCTGCGGACAGCCGGCTTATAGTCTTTATTACACGTGTTATTTAATTCTGTATTTCATAGCGGGGTGACTGACAAGGCTGGAACGTCTTCTCAGCTGCTCATGCATAGATCATCTCAAGGTGAACGGCGATTTATACCGATTTACCTGTTTAATAGAGCCAACACATTGAAGAGACAAAACTTCTCTATTTCCCGACATCAGGACAACTCCCGAGCCTATTTATCAAAAGAAATTATTTTAAGTTGATTTAATCCTTCAGTCAATCAAAGATGGTTGCTGATTGATTGCTATGGGTCACTTAACACCTGTAGTAAAACTATGTTTTGACTGTATCTAGACTGAATTATAGCAGTAATACCACGGAGATTGATACAATTTGTATGTATTAAATGTATAAGTAAGATGAATGAAGTTAAAAAAAAAAAATAATAATAATTCTGTCATCATTCTATTTTTTTTATTTTTAGTACTGTATATAGCGCCGCCACAAGGAGAGAGGGGATTTGTGTTGGGAGGGGGAATTTGGGGGGTGTCAGGGGTAAGAATTGTTCTAGGAGGGTGATATTTTGGGTGGGATTTGTATTGGGAGGGGGAATGGGGAAGAGGATTTGTGCTAGTAAGGGGGATTTGTGGGGGTTGTGTTAGAAAAGGTAATATGATAGAGGGGGGAGAGGGGGATTTGCGCTAGGAGGGATTTTTTTTTTGGGGGGGGATTGTGCTAGTAGGGATAATTGGGGGGCATTGTGCTAGGAGGGAAATTTTTTTTTTTTTTTGGGGGGGGGGGGGGGGGGGGGATTTGTGCTGGGATAGGTGATTGGGAAGGGAATCTGTGGTGGGAGAGGGGGAATTATGTTTGGAGAAGAAATTTGAGGGCAGCACATTTGTGCTAGGAGGTGTTGAGAGGGATTTGAGCTGGGGAGAGATGAGGGAGGGGGGTAAAGATTTGTACTGGGAAGGGGGATCTCAGCAGGCTGCAAGAAGTCTACAGGGCAGGCTTTTTCAACCGTTGTTTTCCCCTGAGGAACCCTTGAAATATTTTTTTAGCCTCAAGGAACCCCTGCTAAAATTAATTCACTGGAGGGCGATGGGAAGAATGCCCCTTAATTTGGTGGTGAAATGGGAAGAACGCCCCCCCCCCCCCCTTACAGCAGTGATCACAATGCCACCCTTACTGACAGCTAGAGAAATCATTGGTGTCATGTTGATGGCTCTTCCAACTGACGTTGGTCACAAAACTCTGCAACGAGAACTAAAATTGAAGAGCCACCCCCCTGCTAAGAGTTTCAGATCCTACTTTACACCAAAAGTCAGGGGTACAATCCAAAAGAGTATCCATACCACAAAAAAATACTTTTTGATTTGGACTCCCAAAACACGTTGGCTACTTTTTTAGATTGTACCCCTGACTTTCCATGGAAAAAAGTTGTGCCTGGACCTCTTAGCAGTGGTGTGGCCCTCCAATTTCAGTTCTCGTTATATTACACTACAAGCCAAGGACACTGTGGCGACCCTCTGGGATGCAGAAGCCACCTTCCTAGGCACCAGGTCATTTACACCAACATCAAAACCAGTAAGCAGGGGTGGACTGACCATTCGTGCACTCGGGCACTGCCCGAGGGCCCAGGGTCAGTAGGGGGCCCCATGAGATGCCCCTCGTACCTTTAATTGACTTTTTCATAGGCTTTTTTGGGTGTGGGCGATGACACAGGGGCCACATGATCCCCTATTGCCCCGGGGCCCCATGAGTTGTCAGTCTGCCCCTGCCAGTAAGATAAGCCTTTGGGTCTAGTTCTATCTTTCCACTTTCCTCAACGAAACTGTGCAGGCACCATCACATGGGAGGTTAACCACCCACAGCTCAGTGAACCCCTAGCAATCTCTGGAGGAAACCTCACAGTTCCAATGAACCCTGGCTGACAGTGGTTGCTACAGACAATACTGGTGACCAGGGGTGGACTGACCATTTGGAAAAACTCGGGCACTGCCCGAGGGCCCCGGGGGTCAGTAGGGGGCCCCATGAGATGCCCCTGGAACCTTTTTCATAGGCTTTTTTGAGTTTGGGCAAGCACACAGGGGCCCCATGATCCCCTATTTCCCGGGGGGCCCCATGAGTTGTCAGTCCACCCCTGCTGGTGACCAGCCCTTTCCCCTCTGCTTGCCTTTTTCTGGGCACAGCTTAAGGTCCTCCCTAAATTTGTAAGAGATTTAACAGGGTTTTGGTTATTTACAAGTAAACCTCTTTGCACTCCTCAGACATTCAACAACATGGGAGGCTCTGAGTTCTTGTAGATCTAACAAAATGGAGATTCCCTTTAATCTAATATTGATTTTTCCATCATCCCGTCAATGGACGCGTCTGAGGAATGGTAAAACCTGCATCCCTTCAAACCAGTATTTATATCTGAGGTCTTTTAGATAGCCTTGAGGTGCCTTGTTCCAGACAGACGCCATTCCTTGCTAGAATTCCGGTGCATATGTCCCTTCTACCAACACTACCCACCCAGCATGGGACTTCCATCCGATCACGTGTCCATTATCTGTCATAATAATCCGTTGACTCGTCCCTTGCAGACTTCTATCACTCACTGCGAGAGCCCATCTTTTTTTTTATTATTTCTTTTTTTTTTCCCTCCTGGTATTTTTTTTTCCATCCTTTCTGGCACGGGCTCAGCGCTCGCACCACTGATGTACAGTCAATCTCACTATTAGCATGATTTATAGAACCTGAACTGGCATTAATTGAGCATTATCAGACACAGCCTGCGAGGCTGAATTATTATTTTTAAGGCGGAACAAGGGCCTTGCCGACCCCTAAGCCTGCCTCTGCCAGACCTGCTCTCTCCGAGTTTATATTTTATGTCAGCAATAAATGCTTCTCTTGAAAGCCTGGAACCCACAAAAAAGTCATTTGAAGTCTATTAATTATGATATTAGCAGTTGGGGGGAGAAAAAAAAAAAAAAAAAAGAAAAAAAAAAACAGAAGGAGAGAGAAAGCTGCGAGCGACTATTTTGGTGACATCACACTTTGATTTCTCGCCGCCTTAAATTATCCCTTTGTTCGCGGGGAAGATTAACAGCCTTACTTTTGTCATTAAATATAAGGACATCTTGTGCAAGGATCCATCGCGGCCTTAATTGATATTACTTCTAGTTGGCAGATACTGACCCAATTCATAATTTAAATACACGTCTTTATATATGCCTTTTTCTCCTCCGTAATGAAACACTGAAGCTGCTCTCATCCCCCCCCCCCCCCCCCCCCCTCCCCTTGCATCAAACATCAAGGAAAAAAAAAAAGAAAGCTATTGCTGCTTCTTACATACGAGAAATCTAATTGAAAACTGCTCGTTGGATTTCAGCGTGACAAAGAAAAAAAAAAGAAAAAGCCGTTTTATGCCGCAATTGTCCATTAGGCCTTCTAATTGAAGTATCTGCTGCTTCACAGCTGAATTAATATTGTTCTTGTGGAAGTTCGAACTTTCTCTAAATCTTACGAGAGATGAAATTAAGAAAAAAAAAATCATATCATAAACGAGACATGAAAGCAGATTCGAGGGGGTGGGGGGGGGGGAACGAGAAGCGGGAAGCGGGAACGCGCGCTCTATGCGTGTTGTAATGCTAACAGTATGGCCATAAGGTTTGCTAATTGCACATCTGTGGAACAGCTGTCAGATGGAGGCCATATGCTGACATGGAGATTATGATGGAGTGTGCGGCGGTCCGGTGTGCGGCGCGCTCAGGTGACGGCTCTACTTATTACAGTATGTGTTGTTTATGATGTCGGTTGAATGATTACTCTTTATTTGTATTATGTATCAGATACAGTCACACGGGAAACTACTTATTAAAGAACAAAAAATCACCAAAGGGGGGGGGGCAATGACTTTCCAACCTTTTATAGTGCAGGAATTGTCCCCCACTATTACTCCTAGTTCAGTCTTTAGTTGATGCTGGAAATTATATTACTCTGCTCACTTTTAGGCGATCTCTGAAAAACCTATCTCTTCAGGGAAGCCTATCCTGCCCTCAGCTAATAATGGAATCTTCTACTCTTCCTACCAGTCCATCCACCACAGTTACTACCTTTTGTACCACCAGCCCCTCCCTCCTAGATTGTAAGCTCCAAGGAGCAGGGCCCTCAAATCCCTCTTGAAACCAATCAAACCCCCCCCATCCAGCACCCCCCAATCCCATTGCCACCACCGACTGTCACAACCAACACCCCCCCCCCTCATCCCGCCACCACCACCGACTG